GGACGACATCAGTTTTAATACAAATGACGAGATTGATTTCGACGCGGTTGCTAAGGACTCATAAGGAAGGTTGGTCACCTTATTCAGAAAATTCCATGGTTACAAGTCCCCCTATCTTGCAGAGCTCCTAAGCTATTGAAATACTCTGAGTTATTTAATCTCCTACTATCCTGGGCCAGGTACTAGTAAAGTTGAATAATTGAAGGTGTATAGAGCGTTAGCGACATGTGAGGGAGACAACTCCGAATATAAATTTTTAGTTAAGGACTGTAGAGTCATTCTTAAATTTTGACCGGATATAAAGTGGTCCTAAATCAAAAGATCATGTAATTAGATCACATACTATTGCTAAAAGAATTTGTTATTTTTTAGATTTTCATTTATAAAAGTCTTTCTTTACACATGTTTCTGTAATGCTCTCCTCTTAATTTGAATAATTTTTTTTTAAAAATATATAAATAATTTTAAGCTTTTACAAAAGTTATACTCTATCTTATTTAATAAAAATATTATTATTTTTTATCATTTGGATGAAATTGATAAATTATAAGCTACATATGTACTACATATGTCAATAAATTAATATAATTTATAAGTTTGTATCACCTAAATATTTTAATAATTTATTTAAAAAAATTAATTTATATATTGTTTAATAAATTGAGTAAGTAGACTCCAAATAAGAATATGGTTGTAACACTAATTTACTTAATAATTTTTAATAAATAAATAATTAAACATAATCTCTTCAATAACACAATAACCATAACTTATCTACGAAATTTTTAGAATAAATAAGTTTATTTGAAATATTTATTTATTTTAATGATAAAAGTACATATTTAAAAGAATAATAAAAATTTAAATTATAATTTTTGTTTTAAAAAGTCATAAACAGATCTCAATAAATTGAGATATATATTTAAAATTTCATTAAAAGAATATTAAAATCAGTGATAAAATTATTCTAAACGTCAATTCCCCTGTTTTAAACAAACATTATTTTAATTATTTAACGTAATTTTATTTGTAAATATAAGATACAATCAGTGGTTAAATAATATATTTTTATTTTTATTTTTGTAAGACAGTAACAGAAAGCATAAGATGAGTAGTCGTCCGTTTATTTGCAAGTTGCGAATTAAAAAGATTCACTATTTTTCACTTTTAGATATTTTAAGATTAAAAATTTTATTTAAAAAAAAAAAAAGCGAACCAGATTCGAGGTCGAAATAAAAAATGGCGAGGACGCTACTAATTCAACTCACTTGTTCTCGTCATTTTTTTGGTGAATTTTAGTCATCTGCAGATTCCCTCCTCTGCTTTTCCCTCCTCATCTTTGTCCCACTCTCACTCTGCTCAGACACATTTCTCTATCCAGGTAACTTCCTCTCTGTCTCTACCATATTTTTCCTTTAACTGGTCTTCTAGGTGCTGTAATTGCAGAGAAGACTAGCTTCTTCTGTATGACTGATTTACGGGTATCTTCCATGTAGAGTTTTTGATCACACAGTTCTTTTGGTTCGTCGACGATGTTTTTAATCTCAATATTGTTTTGTTTTGTGGTGATTTATTAGGATGGCTAAAGTGAGAAATCCAATTTGGTTGTGGATTGTAATCGCATATTCAAACTTTCTTTGTTGACCTTCATGTTATCAGTTTTCTTTATTACGGAAATTGCTTATGGCATCCCTAGAATGAGTTAACAATATAAGCATTTTGAAAAGACTATTGGGATTAGAGTGTAGCTAAATGGATAAACAATGCTAATGTTTGAAAACCAACTATTTCTCTCTCTGTGTGTTTATTGGTGAGAATAACAGGAAAAAGAGTGCATACTTGGTAAGCAGAAAGTGCTGAATGGTTCTTTTGTGACAAGGCTACATCATTAACTGAGTAGTCAAAATTCTTTGATGCTTCAGCCTATTTGAGGGAATATTATAGTAAACATATAGCTGTTTTTATTGACAAGGAAATGAGAAATCTTATCTTACCAATTATGGGAATCAACCTTTATTCGATTTAATTGCTTGTCATTTTTATTTTGTCTTGCACAAAACCTCAATGCCCTCTGTGCTGTACCTATACTTCATTATTGTTAATCTATTATGCAGCTTCAAAAATCTTATTTATTGTCTTTATTTTCTTAAGCTTTCAAATGTTGGTGGTCTA